GCACAGGCATTGTTACAGACCCAAGGAGTGACGAAGACTCCCAGAAAGCACCCAGACTACAAGTTGCCTCTTCCTGTCCCAAGACCAAAGTCTCTAAAGACCCTTCCCACTTCAGCAGCACGGCATGTCCCAGGCAGGCACAACAGATGTGTGGCAAAGCTGCAAGGCTAGAGACTTTGCACAGCTCCAGTACAACATCTTACAATGGCAGAACTATGAGGCACCAGCTGACCTAGTATTGGGGTATAGTTGGTAAAATTTGTAGATACTTGAATATGGGATCTGTCATGCTCTGGAATAGGCTGATTTCCCCACTACCTCCCCATCTAGACTTCCCTGCTCCTGTGTTCTTATAGGAATCTGAGACCCTGTATTGCAGAGGGCACTTAGAATCTGGTACCTATATGTTCACCTGCATCTGCATGTGTATCAATCACAAATGAGAAGACAGACAGCTCCAGCTACAGAAATACAAATGAAAACTACTGGCCTCTAAGAGCAGAGACTTGGGAAACTGACAGGGACTGGGAATCTCTGCAATCTGTATATTATCTTGATTAAAAAAAATAACTAAATCAACCAGCCACATAAAACTAGAATGACAAAGAGAAAGAAGACTCAGGTCAGAATCAGGGGAAAGTCAACTCCTATGGCCACAACCAGCCCTGGAAAAGAGGGTTAGAACTTAATCCCCAAACCACAGTAGCATCTGCTGAGTGGATAGCACTGGCCAGAGAGAAAGAGAACATACTGTTCTGGAAAGGGATTACCTATCAGGGTTAGAAGAAATAAAATCAATGAAATTGGTAAGTACAGGGGAGAGTTTGGACGTTGAGGAGACCTTTGGGAGAGACAGTCAAAACAGGTGGAAGCAGCCAGCAGAACTGCAATCTGCTTTGCATTCTTTCCACCACAGGACGGAAGGGAGCCAGGAATACAATTGGAGTCTGACCAAGCAGAGTTGAAATTTTGGTAGAGTCTAAATTAAGCCTGGGCAACTCCATATTGCCCTCATAATGCGAACCGTCCCCACTTACAATAAAGATTATAATGAGAAAAATTGCATGCAAATGAAATTAATAGTAATCAAAGGCAGAAATTAATGGTAACCAATGCCAAAGCCACATAAGGTCAGAGGGAGGCATTTAGAAAAAGTCTGCAGCAGAAAAGGGATGCAAACATAAGGAACCATTTACATTATATATAAAAGGCTAAACTCAGCCCTCATGCTCCAGCGAGTTTCTTGGTACTGTATAAACCTGAAGGTTCTCCCACTGGCTTGGGTGTAAATGGCACCAATAAATCTTGCATATTTGTTGCCACTCCTGAATTGAAGGGACAGTGGGCTGGGAATAAGAGTTCCCTTTCTCTCAAGGTTCTGCATGAAAAAATATGGCAGCTGGGTGAATTGGACCTTCCCAGAAAGAGGAGTAAGAAAGAGGGAAATCAATGTAGTTATATTTGCTTCTTTTTGGTGATGGTAGGGATAATGGTTCAGTGAGTCATTTTTCTATATAGAAAATACATATATGTATACCTGTATATATGATACAAAATTGACTACTTGTTCATAATTAACTACTCGGTGTGCAACCAGAATGTGTTTATGGATATGTGTAAATTTTGTCATTAAAAAGTATAAATTAAAAGGAAAAAAAACTACAAAAACTCAGGTATTAATGATATGGGCTACTAGAATCAGCAAATTTTTAGCCAAGGTCTAGGTATTTCTAATTCCTCCTTTCCTCCCTTCCTACTTTCCTTCTTTTTTGGTACTAGGAAATTAACCCAAGGGCATTCAATCACCAAGCTACATCCCCAGACCTTTTTTTTTTTTGAGATAGGGTCTCTCTAAACTGCCTAGGCTGGCCTTGAACTTGCAATCCTCCTGCCTCAGCCTCCTGAGTAACTGAGACTACCAGTGAGCACCTGGCTCATTTTGCACTTTCAATGGGCATAAGGCGGTTGAAAGAAACAGCAGGCAGATTTGTCTAGAATATTTAAATTGGTATTTTCCTTTCTGTTTCCAACCCCCTTCCCTTTCCAAAATGAATGGCTGAATTCGGTACATAAAAAGCTTATATGATGCGATTCCACCATATGTGAAGAGAATACCTCCCTGAGCAAGTGCCTCTACTGGTAGGAGACCCTAAGTCCACAAGGTATGTTCAGAGCCCTGCTTTTTTGCTAACTCCCTCTCTTCCTGAGGAATCAAACTTTATCTTCATTCCATTGGCTGAAACTTGGGTGCCTTTTTCATTTAACTTCTCCTGGATCAAAGTGTAGTTATCCACCTAAATATGACTATCATTTCTACGTAGAATTCTCAGCTCCGTGCCCTACCCCTAGCTCTAATGCTTTTGAAAGTGATGTGTTTTCTGAGTGCACCTGAGTTCATTATGTCCCGTGATACTTTTTGCAAACCAAATCCTATAGCTCACCTAGTTCCCTATCCCTCTATCCAGCCATCAGGACATCAGGAGACCTTCAGTAAACTGAAGTTCAATGGCTGGCATGATGGGCACCAGACAGGGTGTGAATCTGGCTCTAGGAGCTGATGCAGTGAAAGGTTTCAGAGGGTCTGCAGTGTGACCTCTTGTCCCCCCTCCCCCAATTCCTTGGTGGAGCAAAACTAGAGGAGAACAAGATCACTGACCTTCTGTGTGACCTCCATTGCTGTGGTTAACAGATAATTGGAAAGAGATGGGAATCTGAAGAAAGCACCATGAGAACAGGGATCATGGTACTGTTTTCTCCACCTCTTTTCCTAGTGCTTAGCACAGTGTTTGGCCTACAGTAGATGCTCAGCTAATACATGCAGAATGAATAAATGCAAGAATAATAAGAGCTTCTTCACTCTGCTTTTGCATATCTCAGTACCATCTGAGCCTTGGCTAGAGAGGACCAATGGATCACGCCTAGATCCTCAAATGCAACACTTTTCTTTTCAGACTTTCAATGCGTTTATCACATCACTTAGGTGAGTCTACACTTATAATTGAAGTCCATTACTCCCAAAGCCCCACAAGTGACACCAGCCGCTGCTGGGCCAGTTCTCCAATTTCTTGAGGTGCCTGACTAATCTGAGTGACATGGCCTCAAGATGATCTTCATATTTCAAATGAGGAGTGACTATACTCATCAATCCTGCCCCCTTCCCTCCTCCTTGCTGCCTCCCACAGATGAAAACAATCCCAGAGTGTCCCCCAGGGGTTTCTGGGGGACACTAGCTAACTCCTGGACTTCAACACCCTTTGGGGCTTTAGCAGAACAACCTGTTACTCTTTTCTGCAATGTTTCTCATTCTGCCTTGCTCATCCTGTATGGAATGGATCCAAGTTGGTACTGTCATCCCTTGGTATCTGCAGAGGACTGGTGGAGGACCTCCCATGGATACCAAAGCTGAGGATGCTCAAGTCCTTTAGTTAAAATGATACAATATTTATATATAACCTATGCACTTCTTCTTATATACTTTAAGTCATCTCTCTATTGCTTAACCCAACTACCACAGTGTAAATGCTATCTAGTTATTATACTGTATTGTTTAGGGAATATTGATGAGAATAAAAAGTCTATATATGTTTAGTACAGATACAATTATCATAGATCTAAGTACACAGTACATGTCAGCAACAACCTAACATCTTCTTTAGAACATTTTCCATCTGTGATTGGTTGAATCCATAGATACAGACCCTATGCATAAGGAAGATTGACTATAATGGATATTACTAAGTACATACACTCATACAATTCTTGTTCTCCAGACATTACAATCTGGCTGAGCCTCTCCTAAGATAGAGTATTTCCTTCCCTCCAGTGTAAATTATATCCAGAGCTCCTTCTAAAGACGGTTTTGTATAAGGCACCCTGTGCCCCACCTACTAAGTCTTAGGTAAATTCAAGTTAAAAAGATCAAGAGAAGAACTGAAGGAAACAGAAGGCACCTTAAGGTAAAGGCAGGCTCTGGCAGTGCATATATAAGGAATAATCACTCAAAAGGCATCTGCCTTGAGAGTGGGACTTACTGAATGGATAGAAGGGTACAGTTGATAAGCAACTACCCAAATTGTTTGCCCACAGAGGCTCCATGTGCATCAAACCACACAGTCTCCCAGCCTCTCATTTTTAAATTTGGACTCTGCACCAAGCCTTGGATAACTTATTTCAGACTCTGGAAGACAGAAGAGACTTAATGGTCACCTTGACTAATTTCTGTCTCCCTGCAAGAATCCCCAACATCCCTGACAGGCAACTAGACAGCCCTGTCTTATATACCAACTCAGAATCTTCTAAACATGTCTGATCATGTGAATCACCAAGGGCACTGTAAAAAGCACTGGTTACCAACTCTGCAAAATCAGACTCTCCAGAGAAAGGGCCTGGGAATCTGAATTTTAAATTAACCATGTTTCCTATGAGCATGTAATGCAGTAGTTCTTGACACTTGCTATATATATTAGAATCAGTCAGGAAGCTTTAAAAAAAAAAGTCAATGACAGGCCTTTACCCCTAGATATCCCCACTTAATCAGCCTAGAGCAGAGCCCAGGTGGTATAATTTTTTAAAGCTCCCAGTTGACTCTAATGGGTAGCTGGGGCTGAGAACCACTGGAACAGAATCTTGATGATTGCCCAACCTGAAGGTGAGTTCTTTGAGGACAGTAACCACGAACCCTACATCTATTAGTACCCCTCACTGTATCCCACCACCACCTTGAACCAACAAACTCTGGTACCATTAAGGTGATCTGATTTAACTAGTTGGTTCACTCATTCAGTACAGAATGCAATCTCCTAATTATGTTCAGAACCTATGTACTTCCTCTTAGCAAGAGGTGAGACCAAGGAGTGAAAAGAACTGCTAGGACTTCTCACAGTTGAGTATACTCACCCCTGACGGATCCCCAGACTAACAACCCCGGAAACCTCCCTGCAGGCCTCTGTCTCCCTGCAGGTTTCCACCCTCCTCCTCCCCCGCCCCACAGCTCTACTCACATTGTACAGCACAGTGGTCCACCCTTCCATGGTGATGCACTGGAAGACAGTCAGCACAGCAAAAAGGATGTTATCAAACTGGGTGATCCCATCGTTGGGGCCGATCCAGTCCTTGCATTCATAACCAGCTGGGCAGCCCTGCACACCACATGGGTGTGGGGGGTCAAATCCTTCCAGAATACCTGCAGGCATATTTGGAGAGTGGGGGGTAAACCACATGGTGCTTAGCATGAGCTGGAAACAACCCCAAGAAGCCACAAGTAAACAAGTCTACTGCCAGCTGACGGAGGCTTGCCCTTCTTGTCTCAGGCACCCTCTCCTCTATGCCTCCCAGCTCACATGCCATGTGTTCAACCTGAGGTTTCCCAGTCTCTTCTGAAAATGGAGTCTCTCCTCCACATGACCAGCCACTTTCTGCTGGCCCCAACCTCCACCCTCACCTGTAGGACCACAGGAATTTACAGGACTGAATCCCACAGAAGACCCCGAGGGAAAGGCAGAATCTTGATGATTGCCTAATTGCAGAATCCAGGATAAACTCTGACTTCTTCCTGGATTTCTTGGGGACAGTTCTAAACTACCGTCCCTTTAGAGGATGTTGTTCTAGCATAGATTTCTAGCTTTTGATAAAAGGTAAAAAGTTAAAATGCTTGGAAGATTTTTTTTTCATAAAAACATGGTGCCTATTGGAGATTCTTCAGCCTGTCTACCCTTCCCTTTCCTCCTAGGGTCCTCAATTCAACTTGAAAAGAACAAGTAAGACATAAAAAGGGTTTGTGGTTTGTGCACCCCACCAATCTCCCAAGCACAGTTGCCAAGCCAAGCTCAGAGTTCTCTCAGTTCTTCCATACTAGGTCTGGGTCAAAACACAGAACAAGGAAAAATCTAAGATGGAGCATGGAAGAAAACTGTCTCCTTAGATCCAGAGAGACCCAGTCTGACTACTGTCTCTGAGTCTCATTGTCTCATTGTCCTGTAGGCAAAAGATGCACTGGATAAAGGATATTTATTTGGACTGATGGCATGGGACATGCATCGAACATATCCCTCTACTTTAGAAGGAAGCTGAGACCACCTCTTTGAAGTCATCCACCTACAAACCTAAAAGGTTATTTTCTTTGTGAGACCAGTGTCAAATGGGGATCTTTAAGCTGATTGTGCCTCAAAAGACTGCTGACTAGGACGTTTCTGATTCTAATTCCAGAATTGGCATAGGATGCACATTTTTCAACCAGGCTCCAAAGGCCTTAAAATAATGTGACCAGACGGAAGAGGAAGGGGAAAAAAAAAAAAAAAAACAGAAAATAATGGACTTACCTGAATTGTTCATGAAGCATGCTCGATGTAACTTCCCACTGTAGAACTCCAAGCCAATGATAGCAAACATCAGAATGGCAAAGAAGAGCAAAAGGCCAATCTGCAGAAGAGGCACCATAGCCTTCATGATGGACTTCAACACGATCTGCAGACCTAGAGGGAGAACAGAGAAGGACACGTTGCCCCCTGAGCACCACCTGCCAGGGCAGCTCCATTCATCCTAGGAGGAGGGCAAGTCTCCGAGAGAAGACAGCCATCGGTCCCGAGAGGACAGAGACAATTCACAATGAGATGACTAGGCCAGTCAGGCCACAGACGGCCGTGACCACGTTCCTCTTCCGCCTTCCTCCCTCCTCCCCTTTCCCTCATCATCTACCTGCCCATCGCCCGTCCTCCTGTTCCGTCCACGTTGTCTTTGGATTCCTCTTGTTGACTGAACTTATTAGAATGTGTTCCTTTCCTAATTAGGGCCTCGCCCTGCTCCATCTTCCCTACCACCCTAAACCAGACCAGCTCTCCCACCCACTGTGAGAGGAGCACCCTCAGTACAGTTATCTGCTTTTGACCCCCACGTTACATTTCCAGATTTCTAGCCTAAGAAAATGGCCAGGTATTTGAATACACGTTTAAATAACAATGTGTTGTAGCACTCTTCTTCATAGTGGGGAGAAAAATGAGGATTGATTATCTTTATTTTTCATATTCTTCAGCCACGTTAAAAAAAAATGGCTAAATAAATCACAGTACACATAAGAGAATGTACAATGCTTATTTGGGCATTCAAAACTACATATGTATGCATAATGATTCCAATTATATTAAAATGTACAGGGAAAATGAATGATAAAGTTTGCTAACATGAGCAATGTTCATTTTCTTCTTTGTGGTTTTCTCTACTTTCCAAATGTTCTACAAAAATATTCCATCATCTTTTAAATCTGAAAAAGGAGTTAAAATTCAGAGTGAAATGTTAGGCCCTATTGCTGCATCTTGATTACCACGGGGGCCTCCTCCCAGGAGGAATTGTTTCTTTGTTTATCCCAAATTGTCTCTAACCCAGGATCCGGTGGAAAACACATCAATAAAGTTACTAGCAGAGCAGAAAGAAGAAAGCAAGTGCTCACTAGGTATCCCTGACACCAGCTTCAAGGGCCTCAGGACACGCACAGCCCGGAGGGTCCTCAGGTCCACGTGGGTGTTGAAGTGGGTCCCCGCAGTGGCCAGGATGCTGCAGATGGAGACACAGAAGAGTCAAGGTTAACATAGCCTGGCTGTCCCCTCCCGTTCCTCGGGGGGTGGGGGGGAGCTGGGCTGCAGTAGGCTCAGCCTGGAAAGCACACAAAGCTGATACCAGCTGTATGTGGGCGCACCTGAGCCTGGGTGAATCACCAGTGGTGTCAAGTTGAGTTAAATTTAGCCATCTGGGTTTCACTTTGCAAAGAAGGAAAACTTACCAACGAGAATCATTGAAGCCCCAACTGAGGAGCAGCAGAGAAGTACCCAGCATCCTGATGCCTGATTCTTCCTCCTATCCCCCACCTCCAGCTGACTTAGACACTCACATTTTTTTAATTTCATAGTTTTCTTAGATTCCTCTCCTTCTTCTCTCCTTCAAGAAACTCCTCTGGATTAACACCACTAAAGGAGAAGTCATTGCACTGTACCTTGACACTTAGAATTTTTAACTAACAAATCAATCACACCAATGTTCTGTAATAACTTGGGTAGCCTCCACACGTTACCAGAATTCTAATAATTAGACTCCAAACTACTCTTTGACCTGAACTAGGTTTCTTTGCTTTCATTTATCCACCTTCCACAGTCACATTCAGAAACATACATAAAAAATAACCCATAAGAATCCTACTAGATTGTCTACACCAACCGCCTTGTCCAGAAGAGACCGTTTATTGCATAGACTCCCATGACACTGCAGATACTTTGGGGAGACAAGGACACACATATATTAAAGAATGATGTAGCAGAAGACTAAGCGCCAGAAGAATGGAGTTCAGGTCATGACTCAATGTGAGAACTAGGACTTGAAACAGTCACCCACCACCAGGACCCTCTCCTTTTCATCTGCAAAAGAGGAAATTACCATGGCCTAGCTGTAGAAATAAAATTAGATGTATTGAATATTAATAGTGATCTATAAATCATAATGTGCACCATTAACATTGTTTTTGATGCAAAGACTACTGATACTAATTGAATAAAACATCAGTTTAAAATTTGCTAGTTTTAGTCTTTAGTGAGATCATACTTTTTATCCCTCATGGCCTCTCCAGGACTGAGTCAGCTATCCAGAAACTCCAGGAAATGAGTCTTTCTGAATTTTCTATTGTAGCTGAAAGGGGTCAAGAATGGTTTATTTTATTTTATTGTTTTGGAGGAACCTATGAAATATTTCAAGTTTCAGAGAAAATACTTAAAGTGCCTTCAATATTTGACATGTCTTCAATGCCTGAAAGAGAACTGTATAAAAGATTTATGCTCTAGGAAGCAGATGCAGGATCAACAGGTACCAAGAACAGACCCAGGACAAGGTAATCCTAACACTGACTGTGAAGGAGTGCTGGCCAACAACCGTCCAGGATTCTTAATGTGGAATACCCTTTCCAAAATTAGATGTGTCCAGGGACAGGCTGCAGGGCTCTTTAGGAAGGAAAGTATCTTCCTTGTGTTAAGGTCATTTTAATGGCCAGTGAAGATCTCTTTCAACTTTCAGATTCTCTATGTTCATCCTACCTCAAAACAAGAATCAGAAAGACATCCTAGTCTCATAAGGCATTCAGCAACTGGACAAGCTTTCCAAGTCTTCCCCATCTTTCCTGACCCAAACTCCCATACCATCATGTGAAACGGAAGGACTTGGGAGAACAGAGATGCAGACGCTGCTTTGAACTCTCTCTCTCTCTCTCATGACCAAAGAAAGAAATTAGGAAGGGAGTGAGAAAAATAGATCAAGGAGAAACATGGGAAGTTGAACTTGAAAATAGGACAGAAAGAGAAAGGGGAGAAAGACAAGAGAAACTTCAGAGACGGGACAGTGATAGAGACCTGCAGGAGAACAGGCATTGTTCCCCACCTAATAAAGGGACCGAGTCTCCTGCTGCCCAGGTGCAAGACTGCTTTCACCGTGTCTTACAAATGCACTGTGCGGACTCTGCCCTGTTCAGAAACTGAGTTCTGTTTCCTAGGATACCAGGTACACATGAGATGTTCTTTCATATTATACAAAGAGGCTTTGGAAATGAGAATTTCCTCCCCAAACCTGGAGAGTTTAACAGGCATGTTTCAGAGCCTGGAGATAGAGGCAGTCAGGCAAAATTAAAAGGCCAAGAAGGCTCCAATGTATAAAGAAAGGAAAATGCTATTTAAAAAGAATAAAGAGATGAGAGGAGATTAAGCAGCAAAATCATGGGGATGCAGACAGGGAAGGAAATAAGGAGGGGAAAAAACAGGGAAGAAGCAAATATCAGGGAAACAGAAAAGTCACACAGGAAAGAGAACAAACAGAAAGCTAACTTGAAAGAACCAAAAATAGGCATGGGTTGCAGGTCCAGCCATAAGATATGTCATGCTCTTGTCACCAAGTGAACCTTTGACTGAACCCACCTGCTCCCCAGATTCCCCCACGGCCATGCACCCTGTGACCTCCTGCTTTCTCGCCGCTTAGAATTTTCTTTTCTCCAGCACAGAAGGATTTCCAACTGGATCTTTAACAGATGCCTATCAACCACTGGCTGATGTCTAACCTCCATTATTCATAAAGTTCTGAAGACAGAAATTATAACCTGGCTCCTCTGTCTACCTGTTAGAAGCAGGGGCAATGGGATTTTTGGAGGAAAAATATAATGAAGGAAAAGGACCCTGCTCTGTGCTCCTATACAATTCTGTGTGCACCTCCATCACAGCCCTTACCACATCCTAGAGAAATTCTGCCTTCTCATGTGTCTCTTCCACTAGATCTGAAACACCTCAATAGAGATACTGTCTGTGTTAGTCAGTTTTCCATCACTGTGACAAAGTACCTGAGATAATCAACTTACAAGGAGGAAAGATTGATTTTGACTCATGGTTTCAGAATTTTCACTCCATAGTCACTTGGCTTCATTGCTTTGGAGTCTGTGGCAAGGCAGTAAATCATGGCAGAAGTGTGTGGCAGAGAAAATTGCTCACCGCATGGCAGCCAGGGAGCAAAAACAGAGAGAAAGGAGCAACTAGGGTCCTCATATCCACTTTAAGGACATGCCCCAAATGACTTAACGTCCTTCCATCAAACCGCACCTTCTCAAAGTTTCATCAAACCCCAATAGCACCACTGGCGGGCACCCAAGCCTTCAATGCATGGCTTTCTTGCCCCTTGTGGGGACATTTAATAACCAAACAATAACACCGTTGTACTCTGTTCCTACCAAACCTAGCCCAGTGCCTGGCAAATCAGAGGTGCTCAATAAAAATTTGATAGGTTGAACTTGAACTGCACTGATGAAATTAATAAATCTGTTGAAGCACAGATCAAAAGGAGAGCACTATCACAGGAACCATAGAGCTTACTAATGAGAGGAGCAGGGTAGCAAAGCTGGGACGCTACTCAAACCTACATGTATTTGAGCACAGAGGAGTAGACTGTCCTCCAGCATAGGGAGTCTAATGAGGATCTTCCAATAAACTTCTAGGACTGCTGCTCCTAAGCACATTCCACAGGACAGGATCGGCCTAGTCCTCAGTAGGAGGGCTAGAGATAGAAGGAAGCATGGACAAAAATTCCAAAGTTAGAGACTGACCTCCCAGTAAAACCTAAGCCTTGGGATATACAGTCCAGCCAACTATACCAGGCCCATGCAGGAGGTGAGGGGGAAAGGGAGCAGTAGAGAATGGCCCTTGACCCTCAGCCTAGTGGAAACAGACATAAATGATATGATTATGCCGTCCCATTGAACATCCTAACAAGGTAGAATAGAAAACACTGCAGTGCCCCATACAGAGCTCACTACCTGCCAGCATTTTCAAATGTTATCTCATTAAATCCTCAAAAATATCCTAATATGACTATTGTTTCCATTTCGTAGAAGACAAAAACCAAGGCTCAGAAATAAATTAAATGGCTCATAAGAGGAAGATGAGGAGTGAAGGTCAGATGTCCTCTGGTGTCAAAGCTGATACTTTCCCTTCTCTGTCAGTATGTGGGGCACTTTTCCCCAGAACTAGTTGGTCAGTCTCTTGGTCTAGTAGGTTGCTATAAATATCAAAGTCACTGTGTCTGGCCCTCAAATGAACAGGTAAAACTTGATTTCCTTCATTCTAAGGCCACCAACCACCAAGTGCCACAGATTTGCCATTCTCAGGACCTCGCATGTCTTCCAATTACTCCAAAAACTGCCTAAATGGCAAGTGAGAGACACCACAAAGTCAGAGGGAGGCCACTGAGGATAACTCCAACCTTGAGTTAATAAAAGCCTAAGTCCTCCACCGTCCCAAGAGGCATATGCCTATGCTCTTCAGAAGCAGACGCCATTTCTACTTCTTTTGCCACCGTAGGCACAGAGCCCCATGGGAAGTTCAATACAGAAGGGGAACTCAATTCACAACTATCCCCCTAGCAGAGGACAGTCGGAGAGCAACCTCAACCCCACCACCACGGACACAGACAGCGCATAGGGCATACAATGGAGATCAATAACTCTCTCCTGTTGGCTGTCATGGCTCAGCCTCCCTCTAATGTGTTTCCTTGGGTTTCCAGCAGGTAGGAAGAGAATGAGGAGAGGCTGATGCAGTTCCTGATGAGTGGCATGAGCCCTTCGAGGCAGAGGCCACTGCAGCAGCCCAGCAGAACAGGAGATGGAAGTGATGCCCTGGGCAACTTGAACCAAATCACCCCTCTCCAGTCAGTACCCCCAGAGTTCTTCAACCCTGTGTTCCTTTTGACCTGGGGTGCTCCCCTAGATTCTTTGTCAATCCAGGTCTTATAGTCTGTCTTTACAGGCATATTCCACTGGTTCACTTCCATACCTGAAAACCCAGAAGCAGTGGGTTTGGATTGAGGATTACCTGATAAAATACAGGCTGCCCAGTTACACTTGAATTTCAGATAAGCAACAAATAATTTTAGTGCAATTATTGTGTAATGTATTGTTTAGTTAAAATATGAAATTCAAATTTAATGGGACATCTCATGGATTTGTTTGCTAATTCTAGCAAGTATACTTACATGATATCTGG